GAACAGGAAATCAACGACATCGCCAAAGGTATCATTGAGCTGGCCGATATCTTCCGCGATTTACAAGCAATGGTCATCGACCAGGGCACCATGCTCGACCGCATTGACTACAATGTGGAACGGATGGCTACAGATGTCAAAGGAGCGGAGAAGGAGCTCATCGTTGCCACCAATTACCAGCGACGCAACACCAAACGCAAAATCCTCTTGTTGTTATTGCTTCTTGTTATTGGCATGTTTGTCCTCCTGTTGATCAAACCGAAGAAGCGAGCTCAGCCAATACCACCTCCTGCATCTCCTGCGAACCCAGACAGTCCTCCTTGAGCAATGAAGCACGGTGTAGACACGATGGTAAAATATTTGCTTGACACAAAGGACACAAAACGAGGACTATGCACCACAAGCTCGCCCTCTTATACTGATCCTGGCCACAAACACAGTGCCTGTCGAAGGGCGAGATTCAACAGTGTTACCTCAGTCGCAGGACTGTGTCGGATGACCAAAGCACTCCCCTTTTGATCCTCTGGAGGATCACTCCCTGAATCCGTGGTTTATTCCGGCTGAGCACGGGGAAGAAAAGTTGGACACAATTGCAGGAGACACAAGGGAAGCCAAGCCCATGGGTTCGTGGCATACAATAGAGGTTGTTTTGAAAGAGCTATATAGACCCTGCCGGAGGTCTCTCCTGTTGAACGAACCTCACAGCTCCTTCATATTACGGTACGGACGACGAGGTAGCTATGGCGTAATGACGTGAGTATGGGTCACTCTTACTAGTATTTCATGCATTGCTAATACGGAAGCAGAGGGACTGAGCTGGTCCTCATTCTATAACGAAACACTTTGGAATATATTCACCTCTTTCCTAAGAGGGCGTGTGTTAACACAAATACTATTACTACTACTTATACCCAGCAGCTCCTCTTGGTTGAAGCCTCTGATTTGCTGTACAAGGCACATAGCTTATGACGAGAATCTCCCAGTAGAAGGGTTGAGGGATACTGTTCACCGTGGTATCTTACAACATCTTTCCACATCTCAGCTCTTATGTCCTCTGACCTTTTGTAACTCGTAACTTTGTGGAATTTTCGGGAACCAATGGGTACTTGTCATGTTGTTAGCGACAGCGGGCACTCTTACAGGCGGGAACTGCCCTTGAGATTCGGCGAGATTATTATGAATCCAGAAGGATGCTATACATAAACGAGGTATCCAATCATAGAACCAGTAGTGCCAGAGCTGAGAACCGTAAAGTATTGTCACCCTCACCCTATATTAGGTCAGCCGGTTGTGGAACCGGAGAAACCGCCGAGACAGTCGGTCAGTCTTAGGTATCTCGTACACGTAATCGCAAGCCCACCATCAAGCCCACCTTAAAATCAAAGCTATATATTATACATGTCCCCAAATCTCTCCAAGAAGTGCCGCGAGACGCGCATCAGCGAGTTCTCTGCGGCCTTCATAGCTCAGCGGTAGAGCGCGACACTAGTAGCTCCTTTACCTACTGGAATGTCGAGGTCTTGAGTTCGACTCTCAATGGAGGCATTTCTTTTTGTAGATTTTCCTGCCTGCCTACATTTGGTGGCTGGTTTTTTTTGTTCATCCCTTCTTCCTTTCTTCCATGCAAGGACATTCATATCTTCTTCTTGAGGTACTGACTGGTGGTGGTAGTGCTGGCCAGGTCTGGGGCTGGTTTGTTGTGTATGTTAAGACTGCCAAGGCGCCAAGGACATGTAGTGACCAACATCAGGTTACGTCCTTGACCACATAATACAAATACTGCGTGTACCCAGAGAAGAAGTCGCGAATTTCAGGTTGATGCTGGTCGATTTGTTTACACGATCTTCTTCTCGAAAGCTTCTTCGCGAGATCTCCCGTAATACAGAGAAAGGATGCTGCCTGCCAAAGTCATCACACAAGCTCTACAGTTCCAAACTTGTCCTCCTCTGCCGCCTCTCCGTCCATGATGCCATGCACATAAGCTTCACTGATCAGCTTATACGCACTGTTTTCTTCACGACGAAGAATAAAAGGCACCTGAGCACCCTTGATGAGTGCGACGACGTCGCCTTTTCTCACATGCTCGGAGCTCAGAACCAAATGACCCATGCTCGTGACGAACGGAAGTCGCCCCAGACTCCTACCGTTGATCTCTGACCCCAGCCTTTGGGACGAGAATTTCCGTCGCCCAAGACTTTCTCTGGCAGCCTTAACAACACCACTGGTCAGGAACTTTTGGACTTCCCTTTTGATACGGTAGTCCCCAGATCGAAGAAAGCGTTTCCCGGCCTCCAAGAGCAGCACGGCGTCAGACAAACGATCTTCTCCCTCCATCCTTGTCTGTTTTCCGTCAGAGTACCCTACACCTGCAATGGACGATACTGCTGCTGCGCACAGCCGGTACCTAAAATTCTCGTATGATCGCTCCCTGTGGTATGTGAGGCGCAGAATTTCGAAAAGCCATTCCGATGGCCACGAGACCGTCTCTGATAGAGGCACTTTATTACTTGACTTCCTCTTAGGGAAATCGCCGGCTGCCTCAATTGTGTCATACAACCTGCAAGTTAACAATAATCCCTGGGTGACTTGGTTGATTGTCGGCACGGAGATCATAGGAACGCCCCTGTCCACCCCAGACGCTCCAAATTTTGGGTACAGGGTTACATGATCGTTTTCCACGTCTTGCACCATCGCAACGAACGATTTAGACCAGTCTGGAACCCAGGACGGTAGGTCAGGCTGTAACTTGGGAATTTGACAACAGGAGAGGAATGAAATATGGCCTTGCCGGAGCAGAGCTAACATTACTGACGTGTAGACTTCTGCACAGGTTTTTGTATAGTCCGGAATGATGCCGCTTTGTCTCAAGTCTTCTCGATCAGATGCCAGGCTCAGAAGTGCAAAGACCTTGTCTCGTGGATCCGTCGACTCGAAGTGATGAGGTCCATGCCGGCGAAGATCGTTGGTGCCAACACAGGTGGCACGGAGAAGCGCTGCTAGGGGGAATCGCTCATACCTGTATATCCTCCACAAAGATAACATGACACTGGGCCTGTGGTGGAACAGTTCTGTCGTGAACAATAGCTGCTGCCGTGTAAGCGATGTTGTGTCCTCCTTCTGTATCTTCTCCATGAAGGTCGCCCAAAGAGCCTCGTATGCGCTGATGGCTGCATTGCACCGACGTCGACTGATCCTTTTGGAGCCACAGAGCAACTCTGCATTCTCGGGGAGGGCCATTTCCTGCAACATCCATATGCGCCCCCACCAAAATCGAGTGAAGAACCGCTTTATGCCAGCGACCGGAAGGAGATGATCTTGCTCGCGCCATCCACTCATTAAGTAGAAGAGGTCTTCCAACTCTTCGCGACTGACAAATCGCAGTTGATTGTCCTCTGTTGTGACCGCGCAGATCGGTGGATGACCTTGTCGACCCTGCGCTACCAGACTCCGCCAGATATCACAGTGAACACCCTCAAGGGTGTAGACTCCACAGGATTCTGCCCGCTCGCCCAACTTGTTCAGGTAATCCACGATATCATCGCTGTCGTCCTCGGCCGGTCCGAGCCAGGCATACACCTGCGTCGCCTGCCTGTAGATGTCGCCCATGAGGGCGACCTGCCAGCTTTTCTCCTCATGGTCACGTTGGTTGATGCACAGAAAGTCGATCCAGATGACGAGGTGTTGGCGACGACCTCGCCTCAACTCCATCATCGCGTCGTATAGGGTTTGTGATACCTTGACCTGCTGTCCGTCGACCAGGATCACCCGCTTGTCCTGGCATGTGCCCCATACGTAGGACAGTGCTACGTACTGCGGCTTCGCACCCAGACGGGCATGAAAGACCTGACAGGACGGTAGCCTTTTGAACCTTCCGCCATCGTGGCGGTCTTTTTCAGGAAGAAGTCGCAGCAGCCTGATCTCATTGCTGGCGGGATCTAGCGGACGATATTGCATTTCCATGGCTGATGTTTTATTTGACCTGGTTTAAAAATATATTTACAAAGACCACAGCACGTACAATTGTCCGGAGAGGAAATAAGAAGTAACCAGGAAGAAGTTATAGCCATTCAAATCCTTGCAATTTCGTTGTCGTCCATTCTTCTCTCAGCCTCATTTTGAGGTCAGCCGTATGGTAGAATCCCACAGGCATCGCCAACACTACACGACACTGTAGCCTAGGCGTCATGGGTTGATCTTGCTGCGCCCTGCGGCCTGCACCGTGATGGCCAATGGAGGGGTGCACTGATGCAGCAATCAATCACTCAACAAGGTATTGGCTTTTATTTTTTTTTCCGTTTGGTTGTTGGTTGGTTAGTTGATAGGCTAGTTGGTTAGGCACCCAGATGCCAGGTCTGTATGCAGGTGGTTGGTCGACTGAGATGTACTGTAACCAACGAACCGAGAAAGCACAGCCCAGGCAGGGTCGCAAGGTCGCAGAGTCGCAGGGTGGCCGCGTGAAGGGTCACCTTTATACACATACCTTGGTACATATCTAGGTAGTCATCCATCTATACATACTTTTTATATATATATATACATGTGCTATTATTCTATGTGTGTACCTACCGGGTAGCTATGTAGGTAGGTACTCAACCCCCCAAACCTCTTCTACGTCTAGAAACGACGCAGGGATAGTTGTAATCAACTAGACACACGGATGATCGATCCAGTGAATACAGAAAGCAATCCACCCCCCGCCCCTCTCTGATTCATGATCCCTCAATCCCAAAAACGCAATTGTATCATGTAGAGATTTCAAGGTGATCAGTGATCAGTAGTTCTGTAGCGTGTGATCCGGAGCAAGAGCATGTCGGGGGGGGGGGGACAAAAAAACAAAACCAAAAAACCAAAGTATTACATACTAATATACCGAGTTACGCCATGCTAATGTGACAATGTACGTCGTAGACGAATAAGTCTGCGTAGATGAAAGATAAGACGGCTGCGGACAATATAACCAATTACAAAGTACCAACTACCAACTACTAACCACTCACGAATCAAGAGACAGCGCTGGCCATGACCAGCGGCCGGACACCGACAACCTGCTTCGTCTTGCCTCCTCCGCCTGGTGCGCCAGAACTAGGACCAGATCCAGAACCAGCGGCGGTGGTAGCATTGGTGTTACTGTCGAGTCTCATGTCCCTCAATTTGGCAGCCACGTCCTCCTGCCCCCCGCCGCTCGTGCTCGTAGTGCCCATCCCGATTCCTTCGTCCTCTCTCACCTGCCTCCTCAACCCTTCGGGGACGGGCAGCTCGACGCACCTGGCGCCAAGTCGTCCCTTGATGTCCTCAAACAACACCTCCATGGGCGCAATATACGCTGTCTTGCTCTTCTCCCCCCAGGCCAAGACGTGACCACAGAGTCCTCCCGAGACGGGATCATACACCCAGGCGCCACTATCTCCTGGGATGCCAAACCCTCCTTCCACGCACCAGCTCACGGAGAAGGATTGGCGGCCGTGCATCTTCACCAACGACATGGCCTGCGAGATGCGACCTCGTCGGAAGCCGGACGACCGACCGCGGCAGTGTACCCGGAGGCCGGAGAGGGACGAAAGGGGTGTTATAGTGGTGAGGACAGGAAGGGGGTTTCTCCTTTGAGGGGATGCTTTAGACCCTGGTCGTGACGAGAGTGTCGCTGGGGGAATACTAGTGCCCTTCTGCTGCGAAGTAATGGCGTTCTCAATCTTCAAGCGATCTTCATGAACCCGAATCAGTGCCCAGTCGACTTCATGTTTCATTTCCCCTCGAATCACGCGTCGAATCCCGCTACTGGCAAAGACATATCCAAACGCATGGCTGGCGAGGTGGTCATCATCGCGGTCTTCCTCGCTGGGAAAGAAGTCGTCGTCAACATCGTCGATGGCGGGTTGAGTAACGCATAGATCGTCATCCGAGTATGGCGCGATGCCTGTTTTGTCGCCAATCGAGGCCGCGTCGTCCGCGTCTGCTTCGTCTTCGGACGAGTCCTCGTCAGACCCGTCGTCGTCATCAAGACCAGGAGGGCTGTCTTCAAGGAACCAGAATTCGTTCCCGTCTGCGTCCATGATGGCGTAGTCGGGGCGGATGGTGCTGGCGTCGCTCTGGTCATCGTCGTCATCACTGTTGTTTTCAAAATCCTCGTCAGAAATGGCAAGATCGGAAAACCGCGAAAGGTCTTCCTCTGATTGCATGAAACGTACATCAGCTGAAGTGTCAAACTGTCCAGGCATTCTACGTGGTGCTGCCGCTCTTCGAGCTTGGTGCTGTTGTTGCTGCTCACTACGTCGCACGATATCGTCGTCATCGTATTCGTCTTCGTCGTCGCTTGGAAGGTCGAGCATGTGATGCACTGTCATGCCGTAGGGTTCGCCGTCGACGAGGATGGTGCCTCCAAAGGAGACGGGAGGAAGATGTTCAGCGTCCTTGAAGGCTCCAATACTGGCTCCACTGGTCGGACGTTCCTGGTATTTTTGCTCCAGAGGCCTTCGATGCATGGCTTTGGGACCTCGGTGAGTTGAGCAACTGGAACCATACCCAGACCGCCTCGGTTTTCTCCTTCTGCCGGTGCCGCTTCTTCTGACTTCGCCGTTGAGGAGGACAACGCCCCATCCCTTTTTGGGTCGAAACTTCTTCCTCAGCACATCACGGACTTTGTTGATCTGTGGGCATTGGATGCAGATGGTTGTTTTGGCGTTTTCAGGGGCACTTCCGAACATCATGAGACTGAGGCTACAGGACGATTCGGGTGAATCCTTGAGAGCGCTCTCCAATATCTTGCCGAGTTTGGGCATCACCATGGTATTCCACTGGTCCAGGTCTTGTTGGGGAATATCGACATCACTCCATTTGCGGAGAGGCTTCTCTGCTTGCGGTGTGGAATGCTGAATCGCCTCCGCCTTTCGCTTCGAGTTCGCTCTCTTGGGGAGGTCGGGCCTAACGTCTTCAAGCGGTATCTGTGGCTTTTTCTCCTCTTCAGCTGCTTTTGCCTCAGCCTTGCACATTTGCTCGATGATGAGAAGCTCAAAGGTCTCGATATCAGAGGCCGGTGGCGGCCCTTCATCATCGAGGGCGCAACATTGTAGCAAGTCCTTGGCTACCTGAAGCAGGAATGCGCCAGCGTCCTCGTAGTTGTTCCTGTACTGCAGCTCTGTGGGCGCTTGCAGGCATTTCTGAACTACCCGCATATACTTGCTGCCGCACTTTGAAGCCAGCTTGTGTGCGTAGATTCGCTGGACTCTCTCCATAAAAAGTCGGCGGTCGTACTTTGGCTTCCACAGTTTCTGTAGAGGGATCCACAGACCAATCTCTAACAAAAGCAAACCGAGACTGTAAATGTCATAGGCAGGAACAACCTCATCCGCATGAATGTCGTGGTCAGGGTGCCGATAGATGGTTGCCGAGAATGGCTCCTCCGCTTGCAAGCGAGCCAGAAAGTCCTGACAAGATTGTAGTAGATAGGGGTGTCTCAACTCTTTAGGTAATTGGGGGCGATGCATATGCTCTCTGCTGCCGATGAGAAGGATATTGTTACTGTTGATGTACTGGTGAGTTTCTCCCTGGGCGAAGTAGCCCATGATGGACAAAGAGAGGTTGTATGCCAGTCGGAATCGATCTTCGAGAGCTGGCGACGAGCCTTCTGTAACGTTGCTCGTGGCTAGAAGAGACGAAAGAGTCCTGTGTTGTTGGAGAGTTTTTTGGTCGTGTCCCTCAGGTAAGGCATAGACCATTGCACAGCGCGGTCCATTGGGGTCAACAGTGAATCCGAGAAGTCTCAGATGGCCGCACCACGACAAGGATCGATCTTTGCAGAGCTTCTCGCCGAGTTCATGGAGCTCGAAGACGTCCTCGGCACTTCCGACAACATATGGTGGGCAGTCAGCCGTGAGAAAGTCAACGAGGACCGGGCAAGCACCCTGGCGGAAATAGGCGATCGACCTTTCTCTTGAAGTCGCCGAGCCTTCGGCGGGATCATATGGTGGAGGGTCGAATGCTTGGGGCGAGTAGGTGCTGAACTCCAGACCATTGAAGTCGATGTGCAGGGGATGGTCGTAGAGGGGGGCGTAGTCTGTACCATCGGCAGCAAGCGACCCATGAGCATGCTTCATCCGTTTGGCGTCACCACTCTTCTCGTCAGCCCTCCTTGATTCCTCGAGGCTATAGAGGACGTCGATACAAGTTGTCAGCTGCTCCAGGAGCGCACGCCCCGTCATGACCTCGTGACTAGTCCAGTCCCTCCGCTGGGCCACAGGACTCGCACCAGGGCCTCGTGCCGACTTCTTCATCTCGTAGCGCTCCGGATGCTCGAGTCGGCCACTCTCTTCCAGGAGCCTTTTGATCTCCGACATGACGCTGGCCACCACCTCGCCCAAACCAGCCTGGTCGATTTTCTTGTCGATGTCGACATCGCCTTGGGCGGAATATGGCGCGCCAACGTCGGTCCAGTGCATCCCCCATGCCAACAACCTGTCCTGCTGAATCTGAAAATCCCGTCTCAGGTCCCTCAACTCGGGCAAGTCCGTAACATTGGCAGCTGCGGGAGTGACTTTGGCGCTCTCATACGACTGCTTGGTGTCTGAGTAGAGCTTGGACAGGCGCTGAAGATACGTGCCACGCCGTTGGAACATGATGGCGATCGGCGGGCGAGTAGAGACTGGGTAATTATCGTCTGCTTTCCCAGTTCATGATCTGACTTATTGCGTGCGACAAGGCTGAAGAAGGTGATGCATTGTGAGGAATTGGAGCGGTAGAGGTCGTAGTTCGAAGTTGGGTAGTGCTGAACTGATCGTGCATAAGGACCCGAGAAGTCTGAGCGGGGTGAAGCCGAGTATATCGGCATGGGACGAAATCCTGTTGCCTGTTAATATTATTCGACGCATCAGCCAATCTTCGCCACAGCCCCTCGGGAAGCGCAGTGCCGCCTAAGATTGGCCGCCTGGAAGAATCGGAGGCTGCCTCTGGTTAGGCGCCTGTTCCGAGTGGCTCCAGCCACACTTCCCAGTCTCACTCTCACCCCAGAGTTTCCTCGTTTTCGGTACAAGTTACACTGCTGCCTTGCCACGATCGTTTGCTCGTGCCTGGAGTAAAGGCGCCCGCATCTCGATAGTCTCTTTGTACAAAGTAGCGACTCTACATACAAAGGACGAAGGTTGCGCTGGCATGCGTGGGGAATACAGAGACTGAGCTGAAGCCTGAACAGATTGGCCCCTTGTCTCATCAGAACATTCTAGTAATCCGCGAAGCTAGGAAGACAGCATCTTTAGGAAACGTCGCAGCATCAAATCAATTTTGATTCAATTGTTCGATTGTGTTACAATTGACTACTTGTCTTCTGTAAGAGGTCCACTCAAAGGGATACAAAATCCATCTTGAGCATTGCTGCGCCTTTGTCGAGCAGGACACAAATGTTGGAAACCCCTTCCGCATAAAACCCAACGTCAATAGTTTTGTAATACAGCCAGACCCATGCGCCGAGTTTCATCATCCATAAACCACCATAGCCCGTTTCCGTTTCTGTCGCGTTGGCGTAACTCTAGGTATTGACCGCGTTAGGAAATCTAACCACCGAAACCGTAGAGGGTTCTGCCTTGTCGCTTGAGGGCGTACACAACATCTGTCATCTGTGTTAGTCTTTGGTCATGTACACGATGTGGTCTCACTCTCGACTTACCAAGCGAAGTGACAGTCTTTCTCTTTGCGTGCTCGGTGTAGGTGACAGCGTCACGAATGACCGATTCGAGGAAGGACTTGAGGACACCACGGGTCTCTTCGTAGATCATGGCTGAGATACGCTTGACACCACCACGACGAGCGAGACGTCGAATGGCAGGCTTGGTGATACCTTGGATGTTGTCACGAAGAATCTTGCGGTGGCGTTTGGCACCACCCTTGCCGAGACCCTTTCCGCCCTTACCGCCTGTGTGCAGAGTTTCGTTAGTTATATTGTTTCATGAGGACGTTGTTGTGGTCGAGGATGTTAGGTGTTCAGGTGGAGGGTGGCGTGGAAACAGCTTCAGGGAAGCTCCATGCGACGAGGAGGTGCAGCGACGGCGACGACGAGGATAATCGTGACAGCCTGATGCAGCAAGGTGTTTACTTACGTCCAGTCATGTTTGCAAAGTTGATTCAAAGATGAAAATATGAGCAATTGGTGAGTAATCGATGGTTGGTTGATGCAAGGTTGATGAAAGCGGAACAACCAAAAAGTAGTAGTGGCGCGAAGATGGTCAAAAGTGGGCGGAACAGGAGGGAAAAAGAAAAGGAGGAAAATGGGCAGGAGGGAAACGAGGATTATAAGCGAAAGGGTAGATGGGTGGGCAGTGACAGCAAGATCAGGTCAGGTCGGGGCCTTGGCGTTGATCCAAAGTTGCCTGGGGGTTGATTCAGACTGCGAAAAGGTCGATTTGAAAATCAGGCAAAAGACGTGCTCGAATTCACTCACTCATAACAAGGCACGGATGCGCGCTGTTGATTGGCTGTGAGATTCGATGTTGGGTTTGCTCTGTGTTCTGGATGCTGCCGGGTCCAGATCACGAGGCGCTAGTAGGCTTAGTCGCGTTAGTGGACCATATTTGGTTTAGTGGATACTATTCACGTGATATAACCACGCCTCCAGATCCCAATCGGGCAAACACCTGTTCTTTATCAGTGATATTTCAACAAGGCTATGCTTCACTCTCACTGTACAAGAACAGCGACCAGGACAAGAGCTGGTCTACATGGCTCTCTTGGCATATCAGAGCCCCAACATACCACATGACCCGTATCACATATGGAGCAAGCCAAACAGTGGAATATCTTTCGATTGATCATTGTACAAGCAGGAGTCATGACCTACCCATGCCGCCCAGAACTCCTCTGATTCCCACCCCCCCTAAAACCCCTTGAATCCGTCATACCGCTGCTTCTCCTTGTACTTCTTGTACCCAACATAGCCGCCACCAGCCACACCAGCGAAGAGGAGCAACTTGAAAAAGAACCATCCCCAACCACCACCCTGCGGTCTGGTGCTTCTTCCCCTCCCACTTGTCCGTGCTTGCGCAGCCTTATCTCTCCCGGTGTTTGCTGCCACGGGGTTGTAGAGGTTCCGAGTCTCCACGCTGATAATGTCAAAGTTATCCGAAAGCTCGCCTGTGTGCGCACTGAAACCCAAATACGCCGTGTTGGGCATCTTCAATGGCTGATCTGCTGTGGGGGTAATGGAGAAGCAGTCGATCCATGCGTCGGTCGACTTGTACTGTAGCTGGAGCGAAAGTGACCTATCTTGGAAATAAGTCAATTTTGCTTTGGTGGGGATAGAAGCACCGCGCAACCCTCGAGCCTGTGTGTCATCCTTGATCAGTCTCATATCAGGTGCCTGGAGCTGCTCCTATCTTACCGAGCAACCACCGATCTCGTTCGCTTTCCCATCGTTGGCCGCATCATATGAAGTCTTGCCGTCTCCCATCATACCCATCACGTAAGGAAACACAACACCAGGTCTGTTGTTCTTGTATGTGTCGAAGAAAATGCCCAATCCTTCAAAGCGGTCGGCGTGCCCGAATACCGGACCAGGCTGCGCCCTCTCCTTGGTAATCCACATCGCAAACCCATCGCCGTGTAGGTGACCTTTACCGTGAATCGAGAACTCGAATTCCACTTCCCAGTTGGTCGCCGTCAGCGGTATTCGGGAGAAGATCCACCCTGACTGTGAGGGCATGTCGGAGGCGAGGCGTATGTACTGGTCGGCGCGGATGATTGTGTCACCACCAAAATCAAACCACCGACTTGACATGTCCGAGTCGAGGTATGGAGGCGCGAGACTGTGTGTTCGCAGCTGACGAGAGAACAGAGAGTGTTAGCCAGTGGTCCAGCAAACGCAGGAGGAGAACTAATTGTGTAGCATAACTCACAGGGACACTCTTCATCTCTGGGTCTGCTTCTACCGCCGCTCGCGTGCCCACCGCACATGCCGCCAGCAGCCATAAGGACGACCAAACATTAGATGGCCACATCTTGAACAGAACAGTGCCTGTTGCTCAGAAGTTTCGCGATAGCGTGAGGGAAGAATTCTGTCACGGAGACTTCATGGCAAGACCACAGCTGTGTCTTCAATAGTTGTCGCAGGCACCCCTTAAAGGCGCAGAAAAAAGTGAAATTGTCACGTCGGACTACTGTAAAGGTGTTCAGTTTCGCCAGACTATTCGACGCAGGTGAACTGGGGCTTGTGGAGAACACGAAATGGTTTGCCGATGGGGCCCCTGCCAATTAAGTCACTCCGGCCAATTGTTATAGGCGGCCAGCAGCATGGCTTTATTACGAGCTACCACCGCCCGGCCGACCTGCCTGGTAAAACTTAACTAGGTCTCTAAACAACCCGACAAGTCAACATTTCTTGTAGAGGTACTTTTTCCGTGCAACAGAAACGCTTGTCCAAGCAAGTTCCACAGCACACCTGAAGCCCCGTCCGACTTAGGAACTCAAGACGACAGAGATCGTCAGTACATAATCAGAAGACTGTGACAAAATGGCCTTTGGCGGCTTTTTCGGCGGCGGTTCGTCCAAAGACAACTCTTCATCGACATCATCATCCTCCGACTCTTCGTCCACATCCGTCACGAACCCCCTATCCTCCTCATTCTCGTCTACTGGCGGTACAACGACGACGCCGGGCGTGACACTCCAGCGCATCCAGTCCGCTATCAGCGAGCAATCCAACGTCGCCAACGCAAAGCAGCTAATCTCCAATGTCCACACGAATTGCTTTGAGAAATGCGTCCCCAATCCCGGCAGTAGTCTGAGCTCGGCAGAACAAAAGTGCTTGACCGCATGTATGGAGAAGTACATTGATGCATGGAACGTCACGAGCCGGACATACACAGCGAGGTTGCAGAGGGAGAGCGCATCGTTGGCCGGTGGAATTGGGGGTGCCGGTGCTGGAGGGGGAAAGGAGCTTTTTTGAGCGGACTCGCACAGTGACGTTGCGAAGGCCAGCCTCATGAGGCTGGGGCTGGAGAAAGCAGGATCCTAGAAGCATCCATATTATTGGAACCTGGTTGACTCCCAAAAGGTGCGAGCCACAAGCCAAGCAGGAGGAGCATGGGACGAGGCCAGGCCGGCCATCTTCAGACTCGATCAATCGACCACTTCCATGATGAGCCGGTGCTCTTTTGTACATGATGCACTGGACACCCGATCACAGCGAGTGCAGTGGTCGCCCACCAAAGCACTTCCAACGCTCTAGTGGCTGTCGACTTGGAGCCTCGTTGATGTCGACTCGGCGCTTTTTCGAAGCCTGCACACGCCTCTCAGATGTATACAACAAAGCAGCCTTCCTTTCACTTCTCAACAGAGATCTTCTGCTGACTTATTCCTCAAAAACGTCGTTGTTTGGGGTGGTTTACAAGTTACGAGTTTCGCCATAAACCCGCGCTTGCTTTGTATAGATCTCGATTCCACAACATAGCTGTACAATAGTCTTTACTTTAGGGGACCGTCAAAAATTGAAAAAAGCAACCAAATTTCCAAAGACATGCTTGATGCAGTTATGGATGGAGCAGATGATCTTTACGAGTAGTTCATGCCCCAGTGCCGCGGACCGCTTAACACTAGATATTACTGCTTCTCTGGTCTTTACCTTCTCCCGACA